CTGTATTTTGTTTTTGTTTCGTTTTCGTCTGCCTCTCGCTCGACGATTAATCTTCCGTTCTGCCGGAGAGAAATTCAGTTTAAATAGGGCCACCACTGGCCGTGATTGGTTTATATCGACGGCTTCCGCCATCGGACCGACACGAGCCGACGCGGCGCGGGGCCATTTTTTCGATTCCGCGACCGGTTTTCCCATTGTCTCGCGGCGATCGCGCGCTCCACCGAATCCGCAACTAATGGAAATATCATTGGTCACGCTGTGGAACGACTTTTCGCGGTGCACGAGTGCATCGCGTGTGCATTCTTGTCATTCGCGACGCTGGATTACACTTTTCTGACGTTGTTCGACACTCTCGAATGATCAGCGACCGTTCGCCACGCAATAGAAACGATTTGTACATCGGATACTTGTAAAGGAACAGCTTTTATTGCTTCTGATGTCTTTCCTTGTATGTAATGTTCGTTCTTGATGTCGCAACGTCATGCGTGGTTTACGGCTGAGATAACCTTCCGCGGATTTTTACATTTTTCCCGCTGAATTTTACCGTGTTTTTGTTAGCTTTTTCGCGTGAATCGATCACTGTTGACTGGAACCGACCGTGTATCGCATTCGCTCGGAAACGTAAACAACTTTATATTCCGGAGCAGTACGTCCCAACCGTTTTTTTTTCCAATTTATGCTTCGACACCGGGACGCACGGTAATTTCGCTTCGGAGTAACCCGTTTTGAGTTGTCTTTAGAATCCAGGCAATCGCTCATACATTTTAAATTACCTATCAATAAGAATGTAATAATTACAAAAAGAAAGATAAAGATACCAAGGAGCTTGCAATGCTGGAAAAGTGGTACCAAGCTACGTTCCCAACACTCAACTTCATCAATTTAATTGTAATTCGGTATCAAATCTCAATGATCATATAGAAATACTTCTTTCCTCTCCTTATTCTTAATTATCTTAATTTTTCATCGTGTCTGATAATTCTCATCTATTTAAACCGAATAAAGAGCGACTGACCGGAAGCCATAAGTCATCCCTGTTTATTTCCAAGGAACTCCGTCCTCGATGAGGGTTTAACGCGACCCTTAAAAGAGGAGGCAACCCGTCGAATCGTATTTCGCAAAAAAAGGAAACCGTGAAACCTCTAAATTTCCCCGGAACCAATAATTGGTATTCTCGGATCGCTACGTCTTCCGGCGTTCTTAGCGCGGCCGACTCGGCCAGCGGAAACGCTGGGGCGAAGAACCAGAAGAAGAAGAAGAAGAAGAAGAAGAAGAAGAAGAAGAAGAAGAAGGAGAAGATGTGCAAGAAGAAAAAAAAGCGAGCCGGATCGACGAGTGGTTTCTTGATCAAGAGGAACTTAGAGTATTTGTTGCCGGCGAGCAAGGGGGGGTGGGTGGACAAGGGACGGAGTGAAGCGAACAAGTCGAGCACCAATTAACTCGTGGCTGCGGCTTGATTTAACAAATCGTCGCTAATTGGTTGGATTGCGGTGCTTCGTGAAACTTTTGCTACCGGCCGAGACAAAAGCCGTATCAATACCCCTGAGGTCCCCCGCTAATAATCCCTAATTCTCCAAGTAACTCGAAGCCTTCTGCTGCCCCGGACAAAAGGAAGATCTAGCTAGAATCGCTTTCGTGGGAGAGGTCGCCACAGTGTTCCAAAACAAGGTTACCTAGCGACTACCACCTGACGCACAGCTGATATTATTATAATATCTACCGGAAAAACTGTTCGCAAATACTTATGACAACTACCGTTATCGTTTCTGTCATTGTTGTTTAAGCTTTAAATAAACCGTAAATTATTGAAACTGGTCTATTGAAGACAATCTCCATGCAGGAGATTTCCTACACAACTTCAATAAGAGATCCATCGTTAAAGTCCCATGGAGGATGTTCTAATAATTCATCTGAAAAAAAATTCTAACGCGAGTATAACCGTTACCATCAAGACACCCTGTGCATACGGTGCACGCGAGATTCCCGTAAAAATCAGGAACCCACGAGACTTCTATTAATTAGCGGTTGTGAGATGACCCTGTCTCAATCGTAGCGAGTGGAAATCGAAGAATCAGCTGCTTTATGCTCGCGAATCAACTGTTTATTTATTCGCGATACGGCGGCCTAGGGGGGTTGAGCGGGGGTGGGAGATACGGAGCGAGCGATCGACGTGAAACGAGTTCATTCATGCTCTGCGGGATGAATGGGAAACGAAATACGTGTACGGAACACGGCGCCGTATTGTCTCGTTCGATTTTCTTTCGTTTTTATCTTCGTGTCCCTGTTTTCTCTCTTATCTCCATGAATTGTCCCGCTGATAAGACAATCGGCGCATAATGAACCGCTTGATCATCGGCTTCCTCGACACCGAGCATCATTATTCGACCGTATCTTACTTGCTCGTGAGTTGCGATCGGAGGGCGGTCGATCAACGACTAATATCAATTTACGGATGGCCCTTGGGCGCATGAACACGCGCGATAATCTCTGATCACGAATTCATCGTTTTTTGCTCGGTTATTTTCGACTGGAACACAAGCGCCGAGAACATCGGCGGATAGATACACACGGTTAACAGCGACATCAATGGAATCCCCGTTAATTCCGCGAATTACAAACTGTAACGGTTACTTAATTGCACGTATTGTCGCATTTCCACGGCACGCCGACGCGAGACGGCGCACATGCTCACCGGTTTAAAAGAGACGTTTATTAGGTCTCTGGGGAAATGACCGTTTCGATACGTGCCGCGCGCGGCTACCGTTGATTCTTTAATTACCTTTTTTTTTTTAACACAATTGGATCACCCTCCGAAAGTTACGTGGCTGAAAATAATAAAAATTCAGCCTCGTTTAAATGAATGAATTAAATAACTATACATTAATTCATGAAACACAGTGTATAATATATAATTGCCTATTACTTCCAGTTTCGTCATTCCTTAAATTCCCACTATCCAAGTAAAAATTCATCAGACTGAGAAGCATTCCTCTAGAAACACCCAACCTAACCGAACGTTGCTAATTCGAGTGGAGGTGCGTTCTCCCCAATTTCTTAATATAATCAGGCCTACCGTACCCAAAATCGATGTTCCCCGGACAAAGAGCCGGGCCGGTGGTTCGATCCCCGTCAGAAAACTGAATTAATCAACTATCGTGCGGCAACCTGAAACAGGGGTGTCGGACTTTCCATTTTGGTGCGGCAGCGTGGCGCGAGGGGTTGGGAGGGCAGCGAGGAGAGTCGACGAGAGGCAGCTCCGTTGCCTCGAGGGTGGTTTTGATCGTCGATAGAGAGAGGAGGCGCACGGTCGCCGTGGCTGCCTGGCTGATTGTCGAAGGGGGTGAGAGATGAGAGAGGCTAAGACAGGAGAAGCGGGACGGGGCCAATCAGAGCGGGGACTTTGAGGGTGTCGTTGCCAGGCAACGAAACACACCCCAACACCCGAGGGGAGAAAACCCCGAGGGGGTATCATCCAGCGATACAGTCGACGCCGAAAGTTATCGCACCCTTGAGAGACGCCCCCTTTAACATTGCCATCGAATTACTGACTCTCCGCGTCCGAACACTTGCGGCTTGTTGTTGCCTCGAGAGAACCGGGGATCGATGGTGGAACACTCGATGGGACTCGATGATCAATTCTCCTGCGGTTAATCTCCCTCCGGTTACGATGTTGTTCCTTCCACTTTTCTTCTCTTTTTATAATCCTGCAGCCATCGTTCGTTATATGGTTACGCTGGAAATTTTAATTAGAGCCGAACATGTCTACCGCGACGACTTGTAATTCGCCATCGCACTGTGGTAGCATTTGCTTTGCCCTTTGGAAAATCTGATGACAATTTTGTCGTTCTTTTTGTGTATACAGTGTAATAATTACTCGTAACAGTAACTTTTGGAACGGTAACTTTGGAACCAACACGAATAGAACATTTTCAATATCTTTCTTGGAGTCCCTTGATGTATCGTACGACTTCCTACTTTTTTTAGACTTTATATGATATTCATTAAGAAGTTGCGTTACGTCTCCATCTCGTGTAGCTATTGTTTCGCAATTTCTATTGGAGCAACTCTCAATCAAACGAACATAGCAACGAATAAGAACTTCGAAGCATGAAAGAAGTACTCATTG